AAGAGCCAACCTGGCAATTTCCTCTTCCCCTGAGCCCTTTGGGCTTTGGACTTGCAGGGTTCAACCTGCCTTTTAAACTCAACATTTTCTACAGTTCCCTTTCAGCTGTCTGCAGTGTCTGTAAGCTCTTGTGAACTAATAATGAAAGAGCCCAAAATGGATGTTGGGTTATGATGACATTGATAAATTACTGAGTCTTTTGCTAGTTTAGACCATCTTGTTAATGGTTCAAATTATATTCCTGCTTGCTTTGTCGCAAATGTGGAGTAATTCACTGAAGTCATCAGTGTGACTGAGAACAGAATGGCCAAAGATGGCCATGGGCAGCCTGAGGCTGTGTGCCAACTATAATTAAAGCCTTTGATGTAAATAAATGTCACAGTTTACTCTTTATATAGATATTAAAAAAAAACACAAACCAACCGAACAAAAAACAAACAAAACCTCAAGAACTGTTGCCTTTTTAAGCTACTAAATTACTAGCTGAAGAGAATATTTTTTATCCATAGTTGTGGTGACTGGGMAATGCTGTAGAATAACATCACAGTTCATTTTAAGGACTTAATCTAAAATGCTGGCACAGTGGCGTTTTTAGAATCCTGTAGTTAAAGATGGAAAAGAACTATAGTGTCTGTGTGTTTCTAACCCATCTCGATTAGCTCTTCTTCCTTTTTGCAGTCTTATTTTCATATGTAACTATTTAAAATACAAGAAACCTACTTTGGAATAAATTTCCTACACAGAGACCTTAATTCTCTCTTCAGAAGGAACTGAAAACAGCTTCAGGTTTTGGTTTGAAGAGGATAGTAATTACCATGAAAATAGATAGATTGTGCAGACAGTTACCAGTCCAGTACATCATGGCAAACCACATTTTTGCCTTCTGGATGAGAGAATGATGTGTTCAGCTGTTACCTTCTGAGCAAGTGTTTGTAATATGCAGCATGAAATACAGCACAAATCRTCTGGAAAATCCACAAACCAAAACAAAATCTAAGAAACGAAAAATGGTTAATACTGAGTCTTTCCTGCATTTGAGTCTTTGTTTTCCTTTCCAATAACTACAGCATGAAATTATGGTCACAGTACCAACCTTAAACTTGATTTGTTTTCCTTGCTGTTGTCATTCTGTTATAAATGTCACGGTAATTTAATTTTTTTTTTCATAAACTGAAGGAGGGTTTTTAATCCCTTTAAAATGTAGTTGATTCTTACCTAAATGAAGCTACTGGGAAGAAACATAGGTCATTCATTCAACTGCGACCTATATGCAGTGACATGYAGCTTCCCCTGTCCTTTGTTTCTAATGTAAGCAGTGCTGTCACCAGACTGTCCTTGTTCTCATCCTGTCAGATGACAACTTAGATGAAATGGAGTTGACTGATATTAGATGTAGCAAGATGGAAGCTGTGTTGGTATACAAATTAAAATCCCCTGAATTTATTGAAATGCCTAATGATGTCAACCTATAGAAAGTGTCTGCTTCCACTTTGCTTCATTGTTCTTCAGCTTTGTGATCCTGTAGTCCTCTTTTTTAATATTGGCTTCTAAATAAAAAGGATACCTAAAATAATTTATATACAACAACTCCCTGATTGAGGCAACCTGGCTTTGTCTCCATTTCTAACCTTGCAGTATGGGAGCAAGAAGATTGTCAAAACCATGTTCATGGCAGTGTTAGAAATATCTGGATGGATGTGTCCTACTGGAGTCACGCAACCATTTTGGAGCAAGTACAGATGCTTTGAAAGGGCTCCTGTAACTTTTCAAGTACATTTAAAAATGATGAGAATGCACAGGAAAAGATTTCAAAATGTATCTCGGAGATAGAATGTTCTGTTTTCGTTTGTTTGGATTAAAATCACTACTGTGGGGCAGGCTGACACATCACAGTGTGCTTTAGTTCTCCCACTTTTACCTTGTTTATTTGCTGCATGAAATTCACAGAAGGACAATAAAATATCCTTGGCTTGGAAGCCACTGAATGACTACGGACTCTCTAATTCAGAGAATTGCCATGGGTGATGGTGCTGCTTTTGCCTATATGGGTAGCTGGGATTCTTGATTCATCTTGTGCCTTCTTGCTCTGTTGGGTTTATGGAAGTTACATATCACTGGAGCCATATGTTATGATCCCAGGCAGAGCTGTAAACCATTTCCTTTTTACTGCCTCTGAGAGCAGATCAATCTATAGAGCAGCACTAGTGATGGGGAATTTTTTAAGGGTAATGGGAGAAAATAAGAAAAGAGAGCTTGGCCGAGATACTATACTACTCCATCTTCCAAAGAATTAAATCCCTTCCTATTTATAAATTTTTAATTTCTCGGCRAGAAGAAAGAAGGTTTTCACCCTACTTTTGCAGCTGGGAAAAAATGTGACAGATTAAGAATTTAAGGTTCATTAAAAAAAAAGAGGGGAAGGTTGTGATGTAGTCAGCAGCCTGATACTAATGGATAGAGTGTTTGTTGCCAGAATTTGAAAGTTCAGTATAACCTTAGGGATCTAATCCATAACTCTTTTAGGTAATTAGTTCTTTGACTTCACATTGCCAAATCTCAGCATTCAGAATTACATGAGCTGGTAAAATATTGCAAAAGGCTAAGGGGATTTGAGATATAATTTGCCCTGTTAAAAATCTTTCAGCTTTGAGTCAAAACATTTTCAAAATTTACTTTACAACCAGAAGGCCTACAAGCATCTATTTTATTTTTTTAAAGGAAAAGCATGTTTTTAAATAACAACCTGACTCCAGCAGGTGGGACTTCAAAATTCTTGTATGGTTTGCACAAATACCTGTGGGTTTACAACATGAGAGACTTCTTATGTGAATAAGAATTGGCAAGTCCATCCAGGAAGGTTTTCAGTTTCGTCGCTTTGCATGCAGGAGTAGCTCCTTCAGTGCCCTATGGATATAGGCTTTACACCGTTTTTTCTTTGACAGTGTATAAAGGTCTGGCATGTAGCCAGGTGCATGCCTAAATTGAATGGTGCTGYTCTGTGCCAGCATGGCCTCAACAAAAGTGGAGCTATTTTAGTTTGTTAAGTGAAGAAAAGTTGGACAAGGAGAAGGGGCGGGAGAGCGCAGTACAGGAGACTCGTACCACCCGCGTTCCTTTTGCTTTGGCCTTTACGTGTTTTATTAATGGCCACTACAGTTGCCTCTAAATTATTCCTCTGTAGATAGAATACATCTTTTCCCTCCAGTGAAGCAAATCACTTCAGCTAAACCTTGCGGAACATCTAGCATTGCCCTTGTCAAACTTTGCATCATTTATTTTTAAACAAACTAGGATGAGTTGGGTAGTGTAGTTCTGCCCTCTTCTCTGCCCCTAAAATACAAAGCCTTAGCTCTAGTACACATCTGGAATGCTGATACTGGCAGTAGTAGGAAGACTGAAATTAGGATTAAATAGGTCTGAAACATTTCTTCCACTCTTAAATGTCTGTATGGGAGATTCTGSTTTTTCACATTGGTCTGGTAGGATTGATATGAATTAACTGTTAGTTATGGTGACATTGGAAGGATGCTTTGAAAATTTCAGGGAACTTGAAGCTGAGATGGAAAGACCCTTTTGTGCAAAGGTGCCTGTTCCTTTCTTCCTGTTGTACAGTTGCTCTCCTGTCTCTGGCTATGCYTGTTTTCCAGGGATAGTCTCTAACTTGATGCCAGTATCTTTCAGTCCCTGATTAGCGTTGTTCAGCCACCAGCTGCTACAGTGTTGGATTTACTTATTGCTTTGATTTGCTGCAGCAACCTTGTTGGAAGAGGGAGAACCAGCATTGCYCCTCAGCTCCCTCCCAGAATTGGCCGGGAGCTTCCATGGAAGGGCAGGGCTCTGGTTCAGTGCTGGCTGAGCATCTCCTCTTGCTCTGTTGTGGTTCCAGGAGGATCCACAGGTTCAGGTTTAGTTATTGTTGGTTTACACCTACCGACTTACATGTTTTTAATTCTTGATATCTTAAAATATTTGTTAATACATCACTTTCTGCATTTTTTTGGAAAAGGCAGAAAGAAGGAYCAGATTCTAGATTAAGTAATATGGGAAGGCTCTCCTCATGTATTTCATGGAGGTTCAGAGCCTGTTCAAAGACTTAATGTTAAAAACGAAGTATTTCCAATTTACTAGAAATAGATGGATGTGAAAACGGTGTTGAACCATTCTGTGAAGTCCCRGTTTTTGTTGCAGAATGTGGTGGATGCAAGGCATAGCACAGCTGGCATTCATTTTGGTAATGAGTAATTTATCCAGACAATCTTCTAATTAATGTGGGACAGGTGTGTGGGCAGGTGAATGGTTTTAAAAGTGAGGCCAGTTGCACTTGTTAGCTCTAAGCTTCGCTGCACCTGTGTAAGAAACAAAAGGGAGGAGACGGCGACGGAGAACAGTCGTGCTCTGGTGTTGGTGCATTAGGGATGCCATTAATCTCGAAGTGCAAAAAGTAAGCAAACGAGAAGGTTTCCTTTCTTGTGCTTTCTTGCAGACCGCCCTGTAATTCCGGAGGCAGYAGCGCTCTCCGGGCAGGCGCTGTGGGAAGGGCTCTGTGCCGCCGGAGCCGGCAGGTTACCGCTCTGCGAGACGCTGGCAGCAGGCGGTTTCCCTCTTTGTCTCTGTAATCCATCAGGAAAGATCCGGGCGGGGGGGAAGGCGGGCCGGGAAGCGGGGGAACCCCCGGGGCTCCGGGCGCGCAGCCGCTCGGTGCAGTCCCCGCCAGCCGGAGGGACCGCGCGGCGGCGCCGGCCACGGGCTGAGGCTGCTCCCCGGGGCTCTGCCCCGCTCCCCGCGGCTCTGCCCGGCACCCCCGGCCCTGCCCCTCTCCTCGCAGCTCTCCCCGCTCCCCCGGCCCTGCCCCTCTCTCTCCCCGCTCCCCCGGCGCGCCGGGCGTGGCCGCCCCAGCCCGCTCCGGCTGCGGCTGCCCGTCAGTGCCGCCCCCCGGACGGAGCCTCCCGGCGCCGGGGCAGCGGCGGCAGAGCCATGTGAGAGGGAGCCGGGAGCCTGCCGGAGCCGCGGCGGTGCCGGTCCTCCCGGCGGAGCGGGGCTTTTCCCTGGATGGGCTCAGTCCGTAGGGAAGCTGCGGAGGGGCTCTGGGGCGCCGGTCCGGGCACAAAAGGAGCGAGCTTCGCCGAGGGAGGAGGCTCTGGAGGCTGTCAGAGCAGCGGRCTGGCTCCGCGGAGGGGCTGCGGGCAGCCGGAGCTGGTGTGTGCTGGGGACAGCGGGACTGGCACCTCGCATAAATGCCTGCGGAACTCAAACAGGTTAGTGCGAAACTTGTGTCCTTCCCTCGGGCTCCCGGGGCTCTGCGTCCGCATGTGCGGGGGTCCTGGTGGCGTGGGGAAAGCTGTCAGCGCTGCGAGGGGTTGTTTACTTGTGTTTTCATTTTTAGCTGAGAACTAAGAGCAAAAGCTGAGCTGCTCTTTCTGGCAGAGCATTCGGGAGAGATTCTGCTTTTGTCTCTGTTGTGTTAACTGTGAAACACCCAAAAAAGCAAGCCATTGTGTTCTTTGACCTTCTCGTCCTGTTCRATAAATCTAGGGAGCTCTTTGACATGAACAGCTAGAAATAGTGCTTTTAAGAGAGAAAGCTTTGCTATTGTGCTTTCGTTAAATGTTTGCTTTTCCCATACTGTGTTCCCTGGCTTTCTCTTTGATTTTGTTGCTGGACGTACCAGGGAAATAAYGGTGTTTTTTYCYCTCTAAATGTTATCTTAAATATAAAGTTCTCTTGGCTGTCGTATTAGTAATTGTAATGGACTTACAACTCCTTGCAAAAATATTTCAAATGTTACTCTTTACTTTCAAGTGTCATTGAGTTTTGCAGGGCAAAGCTGTTGCAGACTAGGTTTAAATAAATAGACATCATGTAGACTCCTGTAATTCATGGGTGATTTTCGTGGGTAACCTCCTTCTCCTATCTTGTACGCCTTAGGAAACCCGATAAATTCAGGTGGTGGCAGGGTAGAGCTGCGTCTCCAACTAGGATGAGGTTGTGTCTTTTTGTTAATCCTTTTTCTCCTTTACCTTTATAATTTAAAACAGAGTACTTCAGAATAAGAAAATGCAACGGCAATATATCACGGATAATGCATCTGTGAATTTGTTTAGGTTCATTGCACTGGAACTGTTAGAGGTTCTCTGGCTTGGTTTAACACACTGTGTTCCACTCCCCCATCTCAGTAACAGAAGGCTGAATCATTTCATGATGCAAATAGGATGCTGATTCCCTTGAGTGGGAAAGTCGCTGTTTCAGCTGGGCCCTCGAGTGAGCATTTCTTTGTCTGGAACCTCGGTCCTRCCTGCTGGAGGTGGCTGAATCCTGGTTTGTTTGGGTGCTTGTTTGTGTGTCATGCTACCTGTGGGCTTCTTAGGAAGGGATTTGATTTGTCTGTGGTGCTGTTTGTACTGCCTGACCCACAGCTACTGTGCCTGTCAAATTACATGCAATGGATTGTTGAGTTTTAGATGGATGGATCTAGTTAGCAGCTCCGAGGGATTTTGGTTTTGTCTGGGTTTTTTAATACATARAGGAAAAAGCTGGAGGTAAGGAGCAGAATTCTAACAGTAAAAAAAAAAAACAAAAAAACAAAAAAAGGTGTATTTAATGTCTTTTGACCTGTGCAGTACAGCTGTGTTCATGTCTTCTGGGTTTTCTGTGTTGATAGGCGGAAAAGCTTGAATGAGAGTGGAAGGTTGTAGTTAATCACTTTAGGTCATGCTTTTCAGTTAGCTTGTAAATTCTTTTTCCATATCAAAACAAAAAAACCTCATGGTTTTAATTTTCATGCTGTCTGTCACAGCTGAGGATCAGAGATATGCTATTTTATCTTTTCTGTTGGGGTAATGGTTCTTGATTCATTCTGAGGCCCTTTYACAGAATAAATGCTCAATCTGGTAGCACATCAGTTTGTTAGAGAATGCTTTGCTTTATGAAAGGTGGTACTTTYGAGCCATGGATTGTCAGATAAATTTATTATGTAGTTCGAGGGCCTCTAGAAAGTAATTCTTTAGCTGTAATGATCACAATTAAGTAAAACTGAACTAAAAGAATAAGTGACTTTGAGGTGGATGACAAGTCTATRCAATCTATACAGAGAGATACTGGAATGGACTTCTGTCACATTAACTGAAGCCCTATTGTGTTTAGATAAAGACAGCTCTGAAATAGTAATTAAAAAGAACTAAGAGTAACTTCTAATCATGCTTTTGCTGGGAATAATCATACTTCCTGAAGTTCTGGGCCACAAAAGCAGCATTGTACCTGAGAGCACTGGTAGAGACAACAAATGCTGAAACTGTTAATGTGGCCGTGAGTGTGGAAGGACTTCTTCAGTCCTCCTCTGGTCATTCCCCTTCCTGCTCATGAGGGGTGAAAGCTGTGGAAGTTTGTGCTGAGTATTTGCAGTCTGCAGTGGCATGGCAGTAAAGAGTTTATGAAATTGAGAAGGATCTTGTAGTCTGGAACTGTTAAAATTGTGTTCATGCTGTATCACATAAAGCTTTGATGTGGATCTGAAACTTAAAGTGCTGGCTTGCCTCRGGGCCATGAAGTTGTGAAGGGGAGAGGAGTCACTTTAAAGTGACTTTTGCCAAAATCTCTTCAGTTCTCTGTTATTCCTGCTTTGGAAAATACTTTATTATAAACATTCTGATTTCAGGCACTGACTTCAGTAAGGCTGTSCTTCCTCAGCCCTTTGTTCCTAAAGCATTTCACTAGAGGATGATGCTCATGTGAGAGAGTATGAAATYGTAGATCTGGCAAGATGAAAGAGCAGTTAATGCATTAGTGACATCCCTGCTGTGTGAGTCTGTACCAGCGATGGAAAGCTTGTGGAAGAAATGTTCATGGAGGTGCAGAATGCAAAAATACCATCATTTTCAAACAGTWAGGCAAGTGGTACTAGAAGAACCAAATAAGAAGGGAGTGTAAGATTTGACGTGGATCTCTGTAAGGATTCACCCATGAATTCTCACATGTGACAGGCCTGAAACAGGTGTAATATGCTTTACCTGGGAGTGAAGAGATGCAGCAGTCTACATTGCAGAGTCCTCCTTGCTCCCCCAAGCAAACCCTTGGCCAGCAGTTGTGAGCTCTAGCAGAGGTGGCTAAAGGGGATGTGTTTTGGGACTCACTGGGGTGCTGAACTACATTCTGAGCACCTGAGTGGAGTCACAGGCAGGAATTCTCTACAGGACGGTGGATTTTGGAACTCTTCAAGCTGTTTTGGCCCAATTCAGGTGTGTGAATTCCAAWCTCAGGTGTTGAAAGCCTTTACTTCTTGTAGAGGAGCTTGTACAGCGGAGTCCTTCAGCATAGCCAGGAAACAAGAGGACGCCTGTGTAGGATGTGGAAATGGCAGTGTTCTGTTTCTGAAAATGCCTCAGGAGGAACTGTGCTCTTTTGAATTGCTGTTGGGGTGTGAGGGCCTATAATGTCCATTCTGTGTATGTCCAGCTTTGTAACAGCAATGGACATAGCAAGCAAAGCATTCCAGCCATTGCATTTCCCTTGTCTGTATTGCTTTGAACACCTGTCCTGAAGGTCTGGGGCTGTTGGGCATAGAGCATCAGGCTGGCTGCAATTTTTGCTAAAGTTWTATTGCAGTTACTAAGAATAAAAGTGCACTCAAGGTCTTTCCTAATGTARAAATACTGATTATGGAAGATAAAATGGAGAGAAAAAAAGCATGTTAAACAATCACTTTTGAAACTGGATGGACTGGATGTTTATAACAAGGCGGTTTGCAAACAATTTAATCTCAAACAGTTTTCTCCCAGGAGTTCATTTCTGCTGCTAAATGAAGGTTTTGATTCAGTAGGACTAGGATCAGAGCCACTGGATGGAGTTTGTCCTGGTATTTGAGTATTAAAATACAAAGGCATTTCACTGAATATGAGAAATTTGGCATATTCTCAGTGTGTCTTTACCTGTTCCTGCATCTGTTCCTCAATTGCTCAAAGTTATTTCCTCTGTGCCAGCAAAATTCTGCAGCTCTGTGCAGGGAAAYTTCTGAAAAGCTCCTGCTTTAGACTGCGCCACTGCTTGTTCTCCTTTGTGGAACTGTTTGTGGGTATTGTGGTGTGAGATAGGGGATTCAGCTTTGGGGTTCAGAAAACCCCTTTCTTTTCTGCTGCTGGCTGTTGGTTTCCCAAGTGTGCAAACAGGTGCCCTCTTGGTTACACAAAGGCTCGTTTTAGAACCACTCTGTGGACAAAACCAGTGCATTGATCCAGCTTGAAAACTGAAGCAAACCTTACATCTTCAGGAAAAGAGGAATGGCTTCCTGAACCTGCTGTTTGAGGCCCTTGGAAGGGTCGTACCTTCCCTGGGCATGAAACAGGGAGCAGAGGTGGCTCAAGTCCTTGGCCTGTATACACTTGGTTTGGTCAGATCCTCCCAAGGACACAGCACAGCAGTTACAAAACTCTACTCTTCAGGTTTTTTTAAAAAACTACTGTTGTTTTAGTAGTATGTGAGAAGTGAAACACTGGATTTTGSTGGTAGGTTTTCTTTGGTTTTGTTTTTCCAGTGGAGGCTTGAAGAGTAAATGGAGTCCCTGAAATAAATCCTGAGATTAGAGAGAGYGTATTTCAAATTCTTGGATAAAAGGAAAACCGAAACTCAGGCATTGATAGTTTTAAATTTCACAGTTTCCTTTGTCCTTCTCTCATTAAGTTGCAGCCAGGCTTTGGGACCTTTTTTAGATTTGCCTTTATACCTAAGAGTGAGCAACTGTGACTATACCTGAGAGAAGCCAGATGAGCAACACTTGCTTTTTTAGGGCAGCATCATCTTTTGAATCTACAAATGGGCGGGCAGAATTCTTTCTGTTGTATTATGGGGTGGAAACTCCATGAACTCGGTGCTCCCTGTATACTGCAGTAATGTGAAAATTCCTAGCTTTCARTGGTGTTCTCTGCCTCTTTGATGAGTCAGGCCCACACCTGCTTACAGCAGGAGATTGAAGTGCCTGAGTTTTCCTTTTTGTCTAATCCTGCACATCTATCCTTAGCATCACARCCCCACAGTGTTCAAAAAAAAAGTGTTTTAAGTAAACCTGGAAAATTTTTGAGCGTGGWTTTTATGGCTCTGCAAGCTAAATCACTTGGCACAACTCTGAACTTTTATTTTTAGTAAAACTTTCTCAGCCAGAGTATTGTAATGTTCAGAGAGRTGTTCCTGAAAGCCTGTAATGAAACCAGAGTGAGGGCTTATTTTTATACTGTAGAGACACTATTTTTGTGTGTGTTTGTRTATATRT